CTGGTGCAAATTACTGACCTCTGTCATCATTTTAGGTGGGGGAACTTGCACAATCGGTGGCTGACTAAATACTTTTTTGCCCCACTGTATATGTGCAGACACATACAGGGAATTTGGTTCCGGTAGATGGTGGCTCTCAAGCACAGCAATGTAAATCACACACACACACACACACACACACACACACACACACACACACACACGTGTCTATATATACACATTACACATACATACACAAAGCTGTGTAAACCAACTATAAATAACGAATCTAAACTTATATACATAAAATACAGAAATGAATGAGGTGGAATGAATACTACAGAATGTACATAAGGTGCAGTTGCAGTCTGGCAGTGGGAGCAGTGTGACAGGTCAACTGTTAAGAAGGGAGATGGCGAGGGGAAAGAAACTGTTCCTGTGTCGGGTGGTCCTGGTCTGCAGGCTTCTGTACCGTCTGCCAGAGGGCAGCAGATCAAAAAGTCTGTGTGCAGGGTGTGAGGGGTCTGCGATGATTTTCCCTGCCCGTTTCCTGGTTCTTGAGAGGTACAGATCCTGGATGGAGGGCAGGGGGGGTGCTGATGATCCTTTCTGCTGCCCGTACAGTCCGCTGCCGTCTGCTCCTGTCCTGTTTAGTGGCTGCTCCATACCAGACTGTGATGGAGGAGCACAGGACAGACTCAATGACCGCAGTGTAGAACTGGATCAGCAGCTCCTGTGGGAGACTGTACTTCCCCAGTTGTCTCACGAAGTACATCCTCTGCTGGGTCTTTTTGAGGATGGAGTTGATGTTGGTCTCCCACTTCAGGTCCTGGGAGATGGTTGTACCCAGGAACTTGAAGATCTTCACAGTCGACACAGGGCTGTCTGATATGGTGAGGGGAGCAGAGTTGAGGGATGTCTCCTGAAGTCCACTGTCATCTCTACAGTCTTAAGCATGTTCAGCTCCAGATTGTGCTGACTGCACCAGAGTACCAGCCGCTCAACTTCCTGCCGGTATGCAGACTCATCACCATCTTGAATGAGGCCAATGACAGTGGTGTCATCTGCAAACTTTAGGAGTTTGACAGCAGAGTTATTGGAGGTGCAGTCGTTAGTGTAGAGGGAGAACAGTAGTGGTGAGAGGACACATCCTTGAGGGCACCAATACTGAGGGACCGGGTTTCAGAGGTGATCTCCCCCAGCCTCACTTGTTGCTTTCTGTCTGTCAGGAAGCTGGTGATCCACTGACAGGTAGCTGGTGACACACTGAGCTGGGAGAATTTGGAGGAGAGAAGTTCAGGCACAATGGTGTTAAAAGCCGAACTAAAGTCCACAAACAGGACCCTGGCATAAGTTCCCGGGCAGTCAAGGTGTTGCAGGATGTAATGCAGCCCCATGTTCACTGCATCATTCACCGACCTGTTTGCCCGGTAGGCAAACTGCAGAGGGTCCAGCTGGTGGCCTGTAATGTCTTTCAGATGGGCTAGTCGTTCGAAGGATTTCATGACCACAGACGTCAAGGCGACAGGTCTGTAGTCATTCAGTCCCGTGATGGTGGGTTTCTTGGGAACAGGGATGATGGTGGAGCGTTTGAAGCAGGAGGGAACTTCACACAGCTCCAGGGATCTGTTGAAGATGCGAGTAAAGATGGGAGCCAGCTGTTCAGCACAGGTTTTGAGGCAGGAGGGTGAGACGCCATCTGGTCCGGGGGCTTTCCTGGGCTTCTGTTTCTGGAATAGTCGGCTCACATCCTGAGTGTGTATTCTTAGTTTCAGGGAGGAGGAAAGGGGGTGAGAGGTGTGGTGGAGTTCGTTGAGTCTGGGTTGGAGAGGGTGGTGGTGGTCGTTGAGTCTGGATTGGGGAGGGTGGGGGTGGTCGTTGAGTCTTGATTGGGGAGGGGCAGAGTGAAGGGGGGAGAGGTGGAAGGTGTGTTGGGGGTCAATGTCTGAAGCAATGTCCCTGGGGAGGGGAGGGTGGGGCGTGGGAGTCTGTCCGTCTCAAACCTGCAATAGAAAGTGTTTAACTCGTTGGCCAGGTCTTTGTTTGCTTCAATAGTGGGTGGGGGCGTCTGTAGCTGGTGATTTCCTGCAGGCCCCTCCACACTGATGCAGGGTCGTTGGCTGAGAGCCGTTCTTCCAGCTTCTGGGAGTAGATCCTTTTAGCTGCTTTGATCTCCTTGGTCAGTGTGTTCCTGGCTTGCTTGTACAGGGCCCTGTCACCACTTCTGTAAGCGTCCTCCTTGGCCTTGCGAAGATGTTGGAGTTTAGGAGTGAACCATGGTTTATTGTTGTTGTATGTGCAAAAGGTCTTTGTTGGCACACACACGTCTTCACAGAAACTGATGTATGATGTCACAGTGTCCGTGAGCTCATCTAGGTTCTCAGATGCAGCTTCAAAAACAGTCCAATCAGTGGAGTCAAAACAGTCCTGCAGTTCCTGCTTTGCTGTGTTAGTCCACTTCTTCACAGTTTTGACTACAGGCTTCGCACGTTTGAGTTTTTGCCTATAAACTGGAATAAGATGGACCATGCAGTGATCAGAATGTCCCAAAGCTGCCCGGGGCACAGAGCGATAGGCATCTTTTAGAGTGGTGTAGCAGTGATCCAGTATGATGTTGTCCCTGGTGAGGCAGTCTATATGCTGTCTGTATTTAGGGAGTTCGTAGTTTAGGTTTGCTCTGTTAAAATCCCCAAGAATAATTGTAAAGGAATCCGGGAATTTCCTCTCCAGGGTAGTAATCTGGTCAGCCAGCTCGCACAGTGCGTTGTTCGCGTTGGCCTGTGGAGGGATGTAAACTCCGACCAGCATGAAGGAAGAAAACTCCCGCGGTGAATAAAAAGGTTTACAGTTGATGAGAAAACTTTCCAAGTGTGGGCTGCAGTGTTTCTGTAACACTGTGACATCAGTACACCAACCTTCATTAATGTAGAAGCAGACTCCACCACCCTTTGTTTTCCCTGAGAGCTCTGTTTCGCGGTCCGCCCGGTGAAGTTGGAAGCCCGGCAGATTTAAGACAGCGTCTGGGACTCGCTCACTGAGCCAAGTTTCAGTGAAGCACAGGGCAGCAGAGCGTGCAAAGTCCTTGTTAGTCCGGTTTAAGAGCAGTAATTCGTCGACTTTGTTTGGAAGAGAGCGGAGATTCGCGAGGTGAATGGAGGGGAGTGCCGTGCGGAATCCTCGCCGACATTCAAAAACAAAGCAAAAACAAATCAGCGACCAATATAGCCACCTTTCTTTGCAAGGACACTCAAAAGCCTGCCATCCATGGATTCTGTCAGTGTTTTGATCTGTTCACCATCAACATTGCGTGCAGCAGCAACCACAGCCTCCCAGACACTGTTCAGAGAGGTGTACTGTTTTCCCTCCTTGTAAATCTCACATTTGATGATGGACCACAGGTTCTCAATGGGGTTCAGATCAGGTGAACAAGGAGGCCATGTCATTAGTTTTTCTTCTTTTATACCCTTTCTTGCCAGCCACGCTGTGGAGTACTTGGACGCGTGTGATGGAGCATTGTCCTGCATGAAAATCATGTTTTTCTTGAAGGATGCAGACTTCTTCCTGTACCACTGCTTGAAGAAGGTGTCTTCCAGAAACTGGCAGTAGGACTGGGAGTTGAGCTTGACTCCATCCTCAACCCGAAAAGGCCCCACAAGCTCATCTTTGATGATACCAGCCCAAACCAGTACTCCACCTCCACCTTGCTGGCGTCTGAGTCGGACTGGAGCTCTCTGCCCTTTACCAATCCAGCCACGGGCCCATCCATCTGGCCCATCAAGACTCACTCTCATTTCATCAGTCCATAAAACCTTAGAAAAACCAGTCTTGAGATATTTCTTGGCCCAGTCTTGACGTTTCAGCTTGTGTATCTTGTTCAGTGGTGGTCGTCTTTCAGCCTTTCTTGCACTGAAAATAAGTTCCCTGCAATTTCTGAAGAATATTACAGTAAATCTGGCTGAAACTTGGCCCAGACGTACAGCAGGTTTCCCGGAGGAGGGATGTGTTGAAAGTTGGACCTCAACTACTCAGGATGATTTTTAATGAATTTTTGAAAATTGACATAATTCTATTGTATTGACTGTATTGAATTGAATATAAGTTTCCATTAATTTCTGAGGAATTCTACAGTAAATCTGGCTGAAACCTGGCACACAGGTACAGTAGGTGTCCCAGAGGGGGATGTGTTGAAAGTTGTACATCAACTACTCAGGATGATTTTTCATGAATTTTTGAAAATTGACATAATTCTATTGTATTGACTGTATTGAATTGAATAAAGTACCCTTTAATTTCTGAGGAATTCTACAGTAAATCTGGATGAAACTTGGCACACAGGTACAGTAGGTGTCCCAGAGGGGGGATGTGTTGAAAGTTGTACATCAACTACTCAGGATGATTTTTAATGAATTTCTGACATTTCCATAATTGTATTGACTGTATCGGGACGTTACATTGTAATTTGTGCGCGCGCAAGCGTGCACGTGTGCACGGGTATAGGCTTTCAATCGGCACATAAAGCGAAAAGGCGCTACCGTAAAGACTGGTGTAAAAGCGCAAGGAAATTTATGCGGCGGATAGGAGGCGGCTGGCTTGACCGCGGCTCACAAATGACGGCTCACTTTACCGCAGTACATTTTCGGTGCGGCTGGCGGAGCGGCTAGCTTGACTGTGACTTCGTAAGTGAGGGCTCACTTGACCGCAGTAGAGGAAACCGGCTATAGATATGAAAACACCCACCTGATCTACACAGTACCCGGCAAAATAAAAACGATGCATCCATCGTTTATTTATTTATTTAAAATGTTTGCCTGCCTGTAACAAATCAAGGCAGCAGCATTAAAAACACGAACTTCTTTAACTCAAATCAGTCGAGTGCCAGAAAATATCGCAAACCAATAAACCAGTAAAAGTGTCTTTAGATACAAGTAACACGTAACCAGACCTGGTGACCTGTGAGTAACCTGTGAGGCGCGGTTTCAGTTTTCTGGACGTTTGTGACGAAACGAAAGTGAAAGTAAAGTTTAGCCTGAAGTCTCGTTCGGCGGTCAGTGTCTGTGTGTGTCCAGTGTGTAACAGTGTGTGTGTGTGTGAAGCAAGATGGAGGGATCCGAGTGTCCGCCTGTGACCGTGGAGGGGGACTGGACTCCGGCTCAGACCAAAGCCCTGAAGAACAAACTGCACATTTACTTCCAGAGCAAGAAGAAGTCGAGCGGAGGAGACTGCCGGGTGGAGGCGGAGGAAGGAGCCCCGAGGGCGGCCGTTTACTTCAGCTCACCGGAGGGTGAGTGCGCTTCATCGTGGTTCAGATAGTAAAATAAATCATTTAATAATTAAAAACACCGACAGACGGAGACCTGCGAGTGTAATGATGGAACAAACAGGTCTGAGAGTCTCACTGTGACACAGAATGAAACACGTAATTCAAACAGCTGATCATAAAACTGTGCGCGTGTGTGTGTGTGTGTGTGTGTGTGTGTGTGTGTGTGCTGTGATGTCAGTGAGAGAGCGAGTCCTCGCGAGGAAGAATCATGAGATCATCCTGGACAGTAAAACCATCCAGTTGCGGCTGAGCTCAGAAGCAGTAAGTCCAGTTTTAGATGTTTCACGTGGATGTTTTTCATCACTCAGAGCTTCCTGTTTGCTGCTCACTGTCACTGCTCTGGGTTCAGCTCTTTGGACCAAGCACCTTTAGGTTTTTATGACTAATCACTGAGCGCCTCCCTTTATACAAATATCACAGTTAGTTCTTTAGAAACAGAAAACTGTGAATGACTGTGACGTATGAACCAACAGTCTAAATAGAAACATGTCTCCTCAGTGTTTGAATCATAAACATGCTGTTATGACCAGGGTGACTCCAGCCTGCGTGGCAGGTTTTCCTCGTGGTTATAAATCAGTCCCTGGGTGTGTGAAGCAGCAGAAGCAGGTTGGACTTTGAGCTGATATTTTCATATGTTTGCCCGTGCACTGTAATCGTGCCAACAATAACCAACCTGATGTCACATGGTCTTCAGGTTTGTCAGGCAGTGAAACCACCCATGAGGACAGAAAGTGTTCACCCGCTTCCTGATGTCACACTTTTGTCACACTTAAATGTTTCAGATCAGCAAACAAATGTAACAAAGACGACACAAGTAAACACAACATGCAGTCTCTAAACGAAGGAGGTGAGAACCATTGAGCCTGAACAGGTCGTTGCAGGTCGTGATGGCAGCGGCGAGTGCAGCTCGCCGTCTGCCAGGCCTGCTTGGATCAATGTTTATTCAGTGCTTGTTGCCACGGTGTTTCTGCTCTTCTGGTGTATGATATCTATGCTCTCTTTGATATCTGATCACCCACAAAACTTAGAGCGCGATCTGGATAACCTCAAGCCTTCTACCTTTCCTGATGATTTGGGTGTATTTTATGGCGGTGCGATCGCTGGAGCTTGTGTGGAACCAGCCTGTCTGTTCGTCCAGGCCTACCTAACTCATCAGTGCTGTGTAGAGTAGTGGAGACGAGGACCCAAATACAGGATGACACAGGCAGGTAGGAATGAATTGAGAAAAAGGAAGTGATCCTTTAGGCTGATCGTTGATACTCCAAAAGGCTAAACAAGGAGCGCAGAATGATAACAGGGAAGTATCAAGTTCCAGAAGACCTAAACTGGGAGACGTACTGGGAAGACAGATGCTCTGACAAAGGAGGACAAGGAGGGTGATTGTTTGGCTCTCAGTAATGCTGCATCACTAACAAACAAGACTTTTCTGCTGAAGGAACTCTTTGCTTTCAACGAACTGGATTTTACGTTCCTGACACAGACTTGGCGTGGTGCTGGTGACTCCGCCCTGTTCTTAGTACTTCTTCCTGCCTGTTAGTTTTCTGCTCCCCTCACCCTGCTGGCAGCGCTAAGACGCCAGTGCCTGTTCAAATCCAGTTTCCAGTGTCTTACCCGTTATCCAAGTTTGCAGACATTTGTCATAAACTTCCTTTACTCGTCTTTTGTTCTCCAAACACAGAAAGAAAAGTGCTTCAGTTCAGTGAGGCTGAACTCTGCTGGCCGTTCATGAATATCGGCTCCCTGTTAGATTCAGAATTGAAACACCTGCTCCTCACATACAAGCTCTGTAATAACCAGGCCTCCTCAGAGGGGTTCATGTGATTGAGTCAGTTGTGTCTGTAGGTCTTTGCCGTACTATGAAGAGCACTGATGCCATATTAATGTTATAACACTGAACTGAACCGAAGTTCAGTTTGTTTGCAGCAACAGAAAAAGTGTAATAACATTGGTATAAAACTCAAATTTATTTGAAAGTTAAAGTATAAGAAAGATATTTTTGTAATATTTGCAGATATGTAATATTACATATTTGTATCATATTCATGTATTTATACATATTAACCTTGTAATGAAGTTGCTTTTGCTATAAATATTTTTCCAAAGTGCAAAACTGAAAAACCCCGTCAGTTTGAATGTTCTTTTAAACGTAACTGTCGACATATTTTCCTCTTTTTTTTCTTCTGTTGCTTTAAACCTTTGTTTTTGTTCTCAGAGCCCAACAAGCAGCGGCCGTGTCTCAGGTAAATCCTCCTCCTCGGTTTCTATTATCACTGAATTTTGTTCATTTGTTTCAGCATCTTCTTCATGTGAAATAAGTGTGTGTTTGTGGCAATGAAGGAATATTTTACCAGACTTTATTCAAGCTGAAGCACATTCAGGTCAGATTGCTCTCTGGTGATTTTAATCTCAGATGAATCCAAATATGTTCCTGGTTAAATGATGATTCCTGCTCGTCTGGAGTAAAAGACTCAAATCAATTTAAACCAGTAAAATATAAGAAGTTCCACGTGGGCTTATTTTTAATAATCATATTTCAGATCTTAGTGCTCTGACCTCTCTGTGTTTCACTGTGTTCATGTCAGGCTCATCGTCAGACTCAGAGACGCCTCAGGCTGAACCTGGAGCTGCTGCTGCCAGCAAAGAGGGTAAAAACAAAGTGATGAAGAATAAAGAGAACAGAGAACAAAACTACAGGAAGTTTGTATTTATACTTTATACAAAGTTGCATTAACTTGGCATTTGATACATTGACATTTAATTGTTTGACACAAACAATTTCAAAAGAATTTGTGGGAAAATGTAACCAGTTTAAAATCGCACTGTTTTGTTTTTCTTGATGAAAATTGACGCTTATATATATTTTATATATAAATATATATTTATCTTAGTCCAGCTATTTTTTGTTAATGAGAAATATGAAAAATATGTTAAAATGTGAAACTTAAAATGAATTCCACTGAGTTACTCTGCAGTCATGCTTCTTTCACATTTCCACAGCAGTGAACTTTGACATGAACTTACAGAGTCACACAGTGTCTGACATTAAATGGTCTCATCGTTGATTTTCTTTGCACTGCTGTGAGTGGACGGACAAAATATAACTGTGGAGTGTTCCAGTGTTCGCAACACTAATTAAAGGGGTTTTGTGTGGATGAAACAGCCAGAGGAAAACATCTGTTCATGTAACGCACAGAGACAGAGAGGCGCGTAACACTGCCGTCCGTCAGGTCTTAGACCTCAGTGATCAGACGAGCTGCAGATGGACGGGACCTCCATCCTCCTGTCAGAGAGGAAAACTGAGTTCATTCGACACAATGGGAGAAGCTTTCTTTAAATAATGATGCTGTGTGTTTTCTGCATCCACAACATCCACCCTGATCCACACTGGACTGTGACACACGGGAAGCTGCAGTTTAAAACCTTTCAGATTTATTTGATCATATATTCACATCATGAAAGTTCACGCCTGCAGTGCATGTGTGAGAAGAGCTTCATTCTGTGAGGTGAATGAGTCGAAAGTCAAGAACAAGAGTTTTTCCTTCATAAACTATTATAAATAAATACTTGCTAGTGTTAAGGGCACAGTCACCAGCGTTCGTCTCAACTAAACAAATAAATCAAAACATATGTGGTTCTTCTTCTTAGTCCAGTGTTTTTGGAGCCATTTTTCTTCACTGGTTTTATTTTGGATAAAGTATTTTGATTTTGCCCCTTGACGGTGCTTCAAGTAAAGAAAGAGAAATGTCAGTAAAGTAAAGTTTCAGGAACAACAGGTGAACAAAAGCCTCCTTCCCTCACTGCTCACAGACACTTTCTTTGATCAGGTTTGTGTGTTTCTCTCAGACTCAGAGTCGTCTCAGAGCTGTGCAGTGGTTTTGGAAAACGTCACAGACAACATGTCCACAGACCTGCTCTCCATGCTGGTGGAGAACATCTCTGGGTTGGATGAGAACGGCTACAGCATGGAGAGGATCCTGGAATCCAACAAAGCTGTGGTCACCTTCAGCAGCCCTGCAGGTAGGAAGCAGACAGCTACCACCTGATTAGGTGACAGCGGGAAGGAACAACTCCCTTTTAACAGGAAGAATTTACATTCAAAATAAAATAATAATTAAAAAAATATTATTTATTTAAAATAATGAAGGATTTTAAACTTGGTTCTGGATTTACACTCCACTGGTTCAAGAACTTTTTTGAGAAAAGGAAGTTGGAGATTGGCCTGTAATTAGCTAGGACAGCTGGGTCACTCGCCACTTTAAAGGCCAGGCGCCCATTAATTAAGTGCAGCCAGCAGCTTAGGTTAGCATAGCTATTGAAACCAGGATAAAGGCTCGTTCGGTTCATCCACAGCTTTTTAACCTTCGATAAGTGACTCGCTTTAAGCTCACCTCTGACAGCCTGAGTACACATTTGGGTCCTGCAACAGTCGACACACTAACAGCACAAAATATTAACACATCTGTCTGCAATAAACGAGGATTATTAAATATATAAAGTAGATCCAACAAAGATTGCCTTTATATTTGAAACAAGGACAAAGCCTGACATCATTATATAGATAACACTGTGTAATCCAGCTCTTCTCTCTCACCCTCTCACCCGTTTCAGTGTGAAAGGATTAACCTGGATTATTTTGCAGATGTGGAGAGATTCCTGTCTGTAAGTCAGACCAGCACAAAGATGAAGAAGCATGGACTGACCGCTCGGCCCCGAAAGGTAGCAACAAACATCCGAGTGGAGAGTCTTCCTCCGCCTGTGGTCAAAGGTACACACAGAAAGCAGTACATGCTGCACTTATTCTCTTTTGGCTCTTGACGAAGGCGGTCGCACTTTCTCCCCTCCCCTCCCTTCCCTTTCCTGCTTGGCTTTCTCATGTCTCTGTCTAGTCTTGTCTACTTCTCTCCCTTTGCCCTGGAAGAGTCTCACAGTCTGTTCTCTAAAACCTAAAAGAGGAATTATGGATTTTACACCCTCTTCTCGACAAGAAGCCTGGGTTCAGGAGAGCCGATTGAAGACGTCTATCTTTTCGGAACCATGATAACTGATCAGCGCTGGCTTGGCCCTGGGTTATCGAAGAATAAAGTAAGCAGAAACGGCTGTTCAGATCCCCACAAGGCTGCCCGCTGTGTTGATTGGAACGATGGAGCGAGCCGTGGCTTCTCAGAATGGGCTCATTAGATGCAGCACGGAGGACATATTGGAGAAGCTTGCGGCTGCTGTGAGTGCTGAGACTCTGACAACATCTGACAACATCTTGGAGAGGCTGACGGCTGCACTCGTGCTCTGTGAGCAAACTGGATAACTTCTCGGTGTAGCTGGATAACATCGTGGAGAGGCTCACGGCTCTCCAGCGGGAACGGTGAGAGACCAGTGATGGACATTAGATGACTGTAAAATTGACATGCAGCGGTTCGCACTAAAGAAAGAACACCACCGTTATTTCATGCGGCTACCATTTCGGCGCCAGCTGCGGTCTCAAGGGTGGAGCTGAACATAACAAATAATCTCTCCCCTGATAACAAACTGTGTTTAGACCCTTCGATCCAAACGCCCTCGTACACTTACCTCCGAGGCCGAGTCGGACGGCGGGTCAGGGCCCAGCGCTGGATGAATAGCTGCAAAATAGAATTATAACACCTATAAAAGCAGCTGCAAAAACAAAACAATAAGTGTCATAATTCTGTCATTTGATCACTTTTTCTCAGTTATAGCTGAATAAACTTCCTACTGTGTTGAGAAACAAATAACTCAAACGTGGGTGTGTGCTGACTGATGTTGACTGTTACTTAATCAAATAGCACTAAAACTCTGCTGCTAGTTCAAGCAAACAGCCCAGAATCTGCCGCCCTCACCCTGGAGGAGGCCCTGCACTTTACAGAAAAGAAATGCTGCTGACAGTAAAGTTTTAGGAACAACAGGTGAACAAAAGCCTCCTTCCCTCACTGCTCACAGACACTTTCTTTGATCAGGTTTGTGTGTTTCTCTCAGACTCAGAGTCGTCTCAGAGCTGTGCAGTGGTTTTGGAAAACGTCACAGACAACATGTCCACAGATCTGCTCTCCATGCTGGTGGAGAACATCTGCAGGTTGGATGAGAACGGCTACAGCATGGAGAGGATCCTGGAATCCAACAAAGCTGTGGTCACCTTCAGCAGCCCTGCAGGTAGGAAGCAGACAGCTGGACGTTTCCACATACATAAACACAACGAGCCAGTACAAGGACAAACATCCAAAATCCCCTTTAGATTAACCTTTGAGTCTAATTTTAAACCTGACTTTATAAAAAATCACATATCTGATCTGGAAAAGTGTAGAGAAGCACAAACCACGTGATATGATTTGAATAATGAATCATTTTCATATAAATATTACTTTAAACTACACAAACATTGCATTCCATTTACTTTATATAGCATTAAGACTGTAAAACAATAATGCAGAGGAAACTCAAGAATCCGATAGCCACCTATCGGCAAGCACTTTGGCGACAGTGGGAAGGAAAAATTCCCTTTTAACAGGAAGAAACCTCCAGCAGAACCAGGCTCAGGGAGGGGCGGGGCCATCTGCTGTGATTGGTTGGGGTGAGAGAAGGAAGACAGGATAAAGACATGCTGTGGAAGAGAGACAGAGGTTAATAACAGATATGATTCAGTGCAGAGAGGTCTGTTAACACACAGTGAGTGAAGAAGAAACACCCAGTGCATCATGGGAATCCCCCGGCAGCCTACGTCTATTGCAGCATAACTAAGGGAGGATTCAGGGTCACCTGGTCCAGCCCTAACTATATGCTTTAGCAAAAAGGAAAGTTTGAAGCCTAATCTTGAAAGTAGAGATAGTGTCTGTCTCAGGATTCAGAAAGATAAAGCTTGATGCTGGATTTAAATCGTGCTATTTTAAGAACATTTGTAATAGAAACAAAAAGTAGATAACTGGCGATCTATTGGGGTCATATGGCACTATGAGGTCTTTAGGATCAGACGGGGCCTGATCTCGGTCACGCTCAGCGGCCCTGCAGTGAGGATAACCTGCTTGACTTTACATCATACACAAACAAGTGAAGCACATGTTAAACAATTTTTACTTTGATATCAGTAATCATAAATAAATTGGTATCAGTAAAGTAAAAGAATGAAAAGATCCAAATACCTCTACAGACTCTTTGAGCAGAGGAACCTATCACTGCTCTCCTTTATCACCATTCTGTTTGCTGCCACTGATCCCAACGGCTTCGTTGCTTTACATACAACATAATGTCGTCTGGATACAAATTAAGATCACAGCATTGAGCATAATCAAGAACCTGAATGAATATTGTTTCCTTTGACCACAACTAGTGAAAATATTAACTCTCCTAATCCTTGATTCAAATTTGAAACGGGGTCCATTAGAAAGAACACAAACAGCATAAAATGACAGCAGATCTGTCTCCAATAAAGCAGGATTGTTAAATATAGAAAATAAATCTTTATTGACTCTACATTTAAAAAATAAAGAGGAAGCCTTCATTCATTCATAAGAACATTTCTAGATAATATGTTGTAGCCCAGCATTTCTCTCTCACCCTGTTTCAGTCTGAAAGGATTAATCTGGATTATTTTGCAGATGTGGAGAGATTCCTCTCTGTAAGTCAGACAAGCACAAAGATGAAGAAACAAGGACTGAGCGCTCGGCCGCTGGAGGCAGCAACGAACATCCGAGTGGAGAGTCTTCCTCCGACTGTGGTTAAAGGTACATGTGCTCCTAAAAACCATAGACTGTATATAGAAACCTTTGGATAATTAATACATTATTTTTAATAAACAGCAGGGGTCGACTCCTCTGGTTGAAAAAAGTTTACCAGAACATGAGCCTACTGCTCAATATAGCTGTTATGTTATATTCGATTTTAGGTTAGCATTTTACAGTGGCTTTATTTGTTGGGACAGTTTGAACTTTTCTCGCTTCCAATTTCACCTGAAATCAACACATGAAATCTAGAAAGGAGCTAATCAATACAACAAGAGGCATAGTTACTTATACAGATAATACACAAGCTAAATATAAAAATAATTATCTTCTCCTCAATACAGGAAATGAACTCAGTGCATGAATGAGCTCATTCATCATTATAGCCGTGTACAGTGTAGCTTCCACACTTTTTGCCCCCTGCTGACCCAAATCCAAATGGTGCTGAGTGCTTTAAGGGGTCTCCCTGGAGCTGAGCTGGGCTTTGCCATTGCTACCACATGGCTGTTAAATCGATTCAACCCTAAATTTCTTTCTAACCTTTCGGAACAATAAGGACAATGTCAAGGCTCTGTGTGCGGGCAGGCGGAGATGAGGATCCAGATGCAGGACTCTGAGACGGAATGTAACTGAAAACTTCAGCTTTTATTGCTGGCACCAACACAAAAACAGAAACCAAACCAAGAACCCAAACAGGACCACAAAGGCTGGATCTGAGGGTACGACGCAACACCGAGCACGGGAAAACACAGGGCTAATATACACAGGGATGTAATCAGGGAATGGAAAACAGGAGGGAGACACAGCTGGGAGAAATTGGACTAACGAGACAGGGGAGCAGTAAAACGAATAAACAGAAACCTATAATTCTCATAATGGTCAACGATGTAAAAGAATCAAAATGCAATCCAAAATACAAAATTAAACCAAGACACGAGAAACTCGAAATACTGGGTCAAAACTGACCCAGAACCGTGACAGTACCCCACCTCCAAGGGCTGGCTCCTGACAGCCCTAAACAAAAAACAGAATAACGAACCAGAGCACCAGGCCAGAGTGGGCGGAGGGGGTCCAGGATGGAGGGACGGAAACAAAACAGAAAACAAGGAGCATGATTCCATCAGTCCATAAACAAGAAAACAGGTCAACACAAAACTAGATCCATCACGAGTCCACAAGAAAGTTCAGGGGGTCGACCCGAAGGTAGACAGCACGGGGCCAATCAGTTCAGGGGCCGGCTGTGTGGACCGCAATGGCAGCGACGCAGACGAGACACATCAGGAGGCCGGCCACGCGGAAGGCAGTGGTGGCAACAAAGCAGGTCCGGAAGCCGGCCACGTGGAAGGCAGTGGCGGCAACGCAGGCAAAACAAATCAGGAGGCCGGCCACGCAGAAGGCAGTGGTGGCAACAAAGCAGGTCCGGGGGCCGGCCACGCAGAAGGCAGTGGCAGCAACAGAACAGGTCCGGAAGCCGGCAGTGACGACGACCTCGTTCTAACGGCGAAGACCTCGTTCTAATGGCGAAGACGTCCAACCAAAGGCCTGGAAAGTGGCCGGCAAAGGCGAGGTGGTTCAGGCCGAGCTGGGTCGGACGGCGGTGGACTGGCAGAGGCTGACACTGACGCTGGACCAGGCGAGGCTGAAGCGGAAACAGAGGCCGGACCCGGCACAGCCGAAGCCGATGCAGAGGCTATAGACATTTTTCATTATACTGACAATGAAAAAATAGAAGTACTCAGATTTTTAATGCCAAAAACATTTCTGCTAAAATAACCAGATAACGAACTTTGAAAGTAATTTAACCTTCATGCATCTGTAAAGCTGTGCATTTCTGGCTTTTTTCTAGACATACTGGAGTTGTATTTTGAGAAGACTTGGACTCATCCCAAAAACATCATCATGATCCCAAAAGAAAAGGCTGCCATCATCACTTTCAGTGATCCTAAAGGTCTTTTTGTTGTTGATGTAAACCTATGCTGAACGTATGCAGGCACCAGCTTGCTGTAGTAGTGGTGATTAATGTGAGGGCTTTGCCCACCAAGTTCTTTCACGTCTTTAAACAGAAACTAGTTCAGCAAACTTTGGAAACATTTTAGTGTTTAAGCTTTCAGAATGGATTCTGTCCGACTAATAGTTGTCCTTACTGGAGCTAGCAGCCGAGATGAAAACAACAAAAAACAAACCCAAACGTTAGAACACATCACTCCTGTACTTTGGTTATATAGTGCTTTCATTCCCAAGGACGAGGTACGTCTGAGGCAGCTAGCTTCACATAGGAAATATTAGGTCAGCTTTTCCAGTTTTTTAAAGTGAACCTGAACTTAGAGGCAAAGAAATCAGTTATTACTAAAGTTAATAAAATAAAATAAAAAATGCTTTAGATTAATGCCTGTTGTACTTAGAAGTAGTGTACAAATGACTGAAACGGTTAGCTAACAGTGACTGAGAAACTGTAAAAAGTCTAGATCCAATCTGAAATGTGTTTAACTGAAGTAATTTGAAGATGAAAAGTGTTGTAGAAAAATGATATTTGTCAGATCAAGAAGGTTCAGAACCGCAGAGTAACCACTTATCTAACCTTTGCTTCTCTGCTTCTTGTTTGCTGCAGTTGTGGAAAAGATTTGCGTTAAAAAAGACCTTGAGTTGAAGTCTATCACAGTGAAGGTATATCCATACTACGAGTCACTGGGAACCGTCTTGTATGGCAAAGAACGACCAACATGGAAGATGCCCGAGCCCTTCACAGAGCGTGTTCACCACGTTATCTGGAAATTCCTTGTGGAGAAGAAACTATCAGAACACATCAATGATCAGATGCGTCCACATTTCTGCAGAGTGGATTTGAATGGCCCCGACGTGAAACTCAGCCCTGTGCCGGAGTTTTTGAGGCAGCAAGATCTGACTGCAGAACATGTAAATAACTGGATGAATAAGGCCCAAGAGGCCTTCCGTCGCCTGATGTCTCAGTACACAGCATTCATATGTCACGTAAATGCACTTGGATGGAGAGCTGCAGAGAAAGATGTCCGTTCAGTTGTGAAGGAAGATGCCATCCTGGTGCTGGATACATCCAAAGGATTCTGACTGTTGCTGGCCGAGCTGATGATATAAAACGAATCAGGGCTCCTGTGGAGAAGATTCTTCTGAAAGCCATGAGTCACATTGAACGACAGACAAACAGCATCTCTGAGGAAGTGATTTTGCCCCCTGCATGGTTCTACATCCTGAAGCAGGAAGGGCTCCACAAAGCTGCTCTGGACATTTCTCCTGAGATGAAACTCTCTTATGATGAAGGCACTCAGAAATTAACCATTACAGGACTCACTGCAGAGTTCTACAAGACCAAGTCATGGATCTCTGAGAAGATAATGAATATGAGTAAAAACAACAGAATGTCCCCCCATGTCTTCTAGACTTTCTCAGAACATTAGATCCCATGGACTTGTCCCAGGATCTGTTCACATCTCAAGGCATCAGTGCAGTCTACACCATTGAAAGCAAATGGCTTCTCCTGTTGGGGAGTTCTGACAGAGCCCTTGTTGATGCAGAAAGTAAGATGAAGACTGCTTTGGCTCATCAGATTGTAGAAGTGGAAGACCAAAGAGTTCTAAAACTTCCCACCTGGGGCCACCTGAAGCAAAAGCTGCTGGATACCTACAACCTATCCAAGAAAAAAACGGTTGCCATTGAGATGCATCCAGAAAGAAGAAACAAAATAACAGTGGCGGGTTTTGTGAATCCAGTGAAAGAGGTCAGCCAGAGTCTGAAGGAGTTTATTGCAAGCAATTCACAAGTCCAAGAAATCCTTCATGTTGAATCCTGTGCTGTTGTTTCGTTCATTAAAAGGAAAAAATCAAAGGAGTGTTCCAGTATTGTTAAAGATAATCATGTATCAGTAAGGTTTTATGTACAGAAGCAGGGCATCAGCATCCTTGGTGCTCGTCTTCATGTCCAGAAAGCCAAATCCTGCTTTAGGGAACTGGCCAGTGCTCTCTTCACTGACACCTTAACTGTGGACAAGCCAGGAGCAAAGAAATACTTCCAAAACCAAGGAAGCATTTTCCTGTCTACATTAATGAATGACTTAAGATGTGCGGTCTTCCTTCGTCCAGAGATTGATGAAGAAGAAGAAGAAGCAGAGAATTATGAAGAAGAAACTAAGCTTTGTTATTGTAAAGTGCAGACCAACAGTGGAGTACTGATTTCTGTCAGTAAGGTGGACATCTGCAGCTTTGGTGTGGACGCTGTGGTCAATGCAGCTAATGAGGACTTAGACCACATTGGTGGCCTGGCTTTGGCACTGCTAAAGGCTGCAGGACCACAGCTGCAGAGAGAAAGCAGCGACTACGTCGCTAAAAATGGACGTCTACGTCCTGGTGACGCCATCATAACAGATGCATATAACCTGCCTTGCAAACATGTTGTCCATGCAGTTGGTCCACGATTCTCTGACTTTGACAGGAAGACAGCAGTGTCACGCCTGAAGACTGCAGTTAGAGAAAGTCTGACACAAGCAGAGATGGTCAACTGCTCCAGCATTGCACTGCCAGCGATCAGCTCGGGCATCTTTGGTTTCCCTGTTGACCTCTGTGCTGAGACCATAGCCCAGGCAGTTCGGGAGTACTGTGACAGCCCACAAGGTCTGAGATCATTAACTGAGATTCACCTGGTGGACAACAACGATACGACCGTCAGAGTAATGGCCACAGCTGTGAGCAAGGAGTTCTCTGACCTCGGACCTACCATGACCATCCCACAGCAAGCAGCGGGAAACGAACAGGAGCTTCAGGGTAATGTTAAAGTTTTTAATAATGAACTTTTACTGTAAACATCTTAACATTGATACTCATCAAGCTCATGATCACAGTACAATATCCAGCTCCATGTAACGTCCTTATTTGGATTTTGTCTGTTGTATAACTGTATAAGCACTTCTGTATACCTGACAGCATGGAGGTAATCTATATCCACAATCCCCCAAAATAAAACTATTCTTTAAATCTTTCAGTAAACCTTGTTGATGCTGAGCTAGTGAGAAAGATTATATCAATTTATTGGTCAGATTTATGGTTTATGGCTTCCTAAGCCACAAAGATGGCTGAGCAGCTATTATTAACTTTAAATGGCTGCTTAAGTATTCAGTCAATTGGAGTCATTTGGAAAGTATTTAAAATTGTCATTACTTCCTAGTGGACATAAGTGGGGTCGAGGCAGAGGCAGAGGTCAGAACCAATCACATGATGCCAGCTGGTGTAATGAAAAGCGAGAAGAAGGAAGAGGTGGTGGAAGAGCGGTGGAAGAGGAGGTGGAAGGGAGGAATCATCACGGTAACAGGGAGGCCTGAGCCCCAAGCAACAATCAGCCATAGAGAGCATGGAGGGTAAGGTGGTTCCCCTTCTATTTCTTTGGTTTTATCACACTCTTGATGACCTCATGTCCATGAGGCTCTTTGATATCATCAGTCTGTTATCTGATTGGATGCAGGTTGGAGCAGACCACAGCTGAGGGCTGAAGATCATTTATGTAAGGGAAGCATTCAGGACCAGACTGTGAGTACTGTGCTGTCATTTGGATCATAGTTTAGAGGATTCTGTAAATGGTCATGTAATTACAACATGAAGGGATAGATTTGGCTTACATGCATCTTTAAACCAGGATTAAAAGTAAATTCTGGTTTATGCAGTATTTTTTCAATCTGTCGCTGTCTTTCATTTTTTTGTGGAGTTTCTGTTCTGCTGAACACCACAACAGTGTTCACCACAGGGCCAAATGAGCTTACTACATAAATTCATTTGAATGCTGAGTTACAAAGGAATGCCATCAAGACTTTTGTACATTAGTGCATTGGTAAATACAGCACATTCAAACATCCACTGATTCCATTTGAAAGCTGCTTTATGTTCTTAATTGACTAGTGTGAAGGTGTCACGTTTCAAACACGACTCAAACTTTGCTCATTTAACTATAATTTGATTAACATGTCAAAATGCCTGGATACATTCCTGGTCTTTCTATATCAGGTGGGCAAAACCATCAGACAGAAATAAGATATAATTAAGAACAAAGCTACACACCTTTATCAGCAGGAACAACGAAGGCACATACAAATCTGATCACATAATTAAGAATTTATACTGCAATATTTTTATGGAAGACTGTACAGTTTGTGTATTTATATACTGTAGTTTGCAGACATTTAGTGTCTCGGCCTTTTTAATGCAAAATAATGAGATATTTTTGATTTTTTACTTAAAACTGGCTTTCATTTACCGAGCTTTTTGTGATTTTACTTTTGTTCCACAGACTGACGTCATCGTCAACACCATCTCAGAGGACATGAAACTGAACCAGGGAGCTGTGTCCAAAGCCATCCTGTCAGCAGCTGGAAGCAGTCTGCAGGACGCCATCTACTCTGAAGCCAGAAGGAACACGCTGCGATACGTGATGTTGTCGTCATGACGGCTACAACCTCACGTGCCAGAAAGTCTTTCACGCTGTTTGTCCTTTCTGGGACAAAGGAGGCGGCCAGGCAGAGGAGGTGAGGCCTAATAAAGGTTGGACACTGTAAACATGAAGGACCAGGATACACAGTTTAGCTTTCCAGCTGCTGGTCGCACACACATCAGCTCTGGGTCCTGATGCCACTGAAATAAGGAGAGCGTGAATAGTCTATTAGGCTCAGCTGCCCTGTCAGCCTGCCGTCACTGCCCCTGAGCCCACTGCACCACCTACCCTCTCCAGCCTATCACCCTTTGGACACCATGAACTTAAATGACTGTGGACAAATACCACGGGTTATCTGGGCGTTGGCATCTTTCATGCGGTGGAGCCATTGCAGCTGGCTTGGTCTGAGCACGGGTGAATAAGTGTCCCAGGATGCAATAACAAAGAGAGCTGACTGCCCACTGGATTGCCAGACACTCTTCTCCACCATGCTGTACCTGGCCTCCCTCTCCGACAGCCTCCGACTGATGTAGACTACAGGGCAGTCAACCCGCCTTACCTGCTGTGACAAAACTGCCCCCAGCCCTCTGTTTGAGACATCCATCTACAGAACGAAAGGGAAGTAGAAGTTACATGTGTGAGACAGGGGCTCCCACAAAAACCTTTTAAACCACACAAAGCCGCCTTGATCTGCTCCATCCACTGGACCAGATCTGGGCACCATTTTGGTCAAGGGGCTGTCAGGTTTGCAAAGTTTGGAACAAGCGGTCTTAATAACTGGCCAGTTCCAAGAACCACTTAACCTCTGTTTTGGTCTTGGGACATGGCAGAGCAATGGCTGATGTTTTGTCCGTCTAAGGGGCGCATCTGTCCTCCTCCAAGTGGTACCCGATATACTCTACCTCTCTCCTCAAACCACACACTTCTTTGGGTTGCCATGAGCCCCACCTGGCTCAGGACTCCAGACTGTGGCCACCCGCTGCACTGCTCTGCCCAGTGTCACTCTGAATGATAGCGTCATCCAAGTAGGCAGCAGCATAAGCAGCACCTGGTCCATGAGGCGTGAGGCCAGGGCTCCGAACAAAGCCGAACAGAAGTGTAACCAATTGGTGCAAACTGTACGGAGTGGAGAAGGACAGTTTTTCTTAGACTCGCAGACAAGGCATCTGCCAGCAGCCCTTGTTAATCCAGGTTTGTTGGTTTTTTTTTTTAAAAAAACTTGCAGTGCCTAACAAGTCCAGGTGGGATGGAATTTTACACCTCCAACTCATCTCTCTTCTTACCAGCTCACCAGAGAAGCCTCTCTCCATGCTTTGAGGGGGTTGAGATATGCAAGTTCCTCCCCTGTCTGACCATACCACTCATAGTCTACGTCCCCCACCTACTGTGTGACCACAAAGGCTCCTTGCCAGTTGGCAATAATTTTGAGCTAGAAGACGGGATAATACAGCACTTTATGTCCAGGGAAAATGAGTCTAGCCCTCTGTTGTGCAGGTGCTGTTGACTGCTGGACCTGGGAAAATTTTGCTGTGATAACAGAGGGCTTTTTTTCTATTTATTCTCTTTCTTTCTTAAACTCTGTTATTCTTATAAGCCCCAGCATGTTGTGATACTAACTTCTGATACTAACATAGCACCCTCTACTCTCTACTCTTCTTTCTACAAGCCCGCACATTCATCCATCACTGTTTTCTATCCCCAAACGCTTTGTACCATCATCATGCACTCATCCACTGAGGATGCATCAGGAGAAACTCTGTGCCCTCACCACCACTGAAAACTCCACTTTTGTTCCTGGTCGTTCACATACCATACTGTGTATCTTGCCCATCACTGAAGTCCAGCTTCACTTGTCTTATCTCTGTTTGTCAGGAGTTAACGTCCATCATCAGATACTGTCTGGTGTGAGGCTGAGAAACGTCAGATGCAGTCGTTTGTCCTCCCAGCAATCGGGACAGGACACCTGAGCTTCCCAAGCCCTGGTGTCCAAACTCCTGCTGAGAGAGACCGCAGCGTACAGCGGCGCAGCAAAACCCTCGCTGTCTGAGAGGTGGTCATCGTCGTTCACCCCAGTGACAGCCAAACCGGATTGAGTTTGTGACTCTGATGGAGCTGTTTAAGTTTATCTGTTCTGACAGTGAGCACTAGAGACGAGCAAACCACAACAAACATGGACACATAATGTGCAGGCAGACACTGATCAGTCACACCGTCACCTAGCTTAGCACACAAACTGGAACAAGCGAAGCTGCTTGTGGCTACAGGTAGCAAAAACCACACTGAGTGGTGATACACACTACAGTGGTCCCTCGCTATAACGCGCTTCACCTTAAGCCCCGTGGATTTTTTTTGTGTGCAATTTTGCATGTTCCTGTTTTTTGTGTTTTTTTACAGCGCATTGTGTTCTGCATCCTCATCGGCTGTAGACCATTGTCTGTCAATCAATCCCGTGCAGTGTCTCCTTGCAGTACAGAATGTGTTCGGCTTGTCAAATTTACAGCAGTGTGACTCTGAAGTGCTGTACTCTCAGTGGGAAGGTTACTTTTAAAATGTATTCCTCTGCAGATTACAGAAACATGCCGAACAATGTATTTTGTAACGTATGTTTACGTTACTCATAGAGAGTAACGTATTCTGATACTTGGATTACTTAACCCTCCTGTTATGTTGGTTATGTTGGAACACCAATTATGCTCCTGGTTAATTTGACCGGGGCGTGTTTCCTCATCCAAAAGTGTCAGACACACTGGCACTGATTATTTACAATTTTCTTTTATAATTTAGATTTTTTTCTTCTGTAGTGATGCAGATGACATGTGACATGTGACTGTTCTGGGTCAATCGACCCGCAACATAACAGGAGGGTTAATATGGTATCACAACTACATGAATGAACTATTGCTGTGTGATTTATTACTATTACTGCAGGTTACTCTCCACACAACACCAGCTAGATGTTTAAATCTTAATATAATGAGTAACAGTAGGGACATTAGGTAAAGCTGCACTTTTGCAGCGATCTCGTGTAGAAAACTATTCCGTGCGTATATAAACAGGTCCGCGCTCCGAACCGTAGCAAAGGACCTCTGGCTAATACGTCGGGTTCGTGTCGGCTCGTAGCTGAAAACTAGCTTTACTTTGTTGTCTGGGTCAAGTTTGCTAGCGAGAGACAGAGAGAGCGTTGAAAGGCTGCTGCAACGGAGCTTATTGTTTCAGAGGAAACAGGAACACGGTGTACAGTCGAGTCTTAACAGCTTACTCACAGCTGGGCTCGTCAGGCTCTGTTTGGCTGCAGTCGTTATTATTATATTTACA